TCCTCACCGGGCAGCTGTCAAGCCCTGGAGTGACTCCTTCTGCTGCTTACTGGTGGGAAAGGGGGGAAGAAAGGAGGAGACATTTCAAGCCATGAAGAGGCTGCTGCTCTAGGTTTCCAGGGAAAGGAAAGGGAGGATGCACCCTCATTTCCGTCCCTCCCCAGCTCAGCCCAGCTGTTACTTGGACCACATCTGGGACCTGCTGAATCATGCACCCCATCTCTGGTAAGCAACAGCTGCTAGTTGTGGTACCTGAAAGATGTTGGAGCCACGTACTGCTGTAGAATCTCAGCCATAGTGTGTCTGAGATTAAAGTGTGATGTGCATTTGACTCACCAGAGGAAACGATGGTTAGCTTTGTATCTGGCAAAAGAAGAGTGTATCCTCTTCCTGTCTCACTAAACTATGACTGAGATGACAGCAGCTTTCCTCAAAATATTTTGACTCTGCCTCTTCTAACTTTAGACCAGTGGTTCTCAACCTGTGGGTCCCCAGATGTTTTGGCCTTCAACTCCCAAAAATCCTAACAGCTGGTAAACTGGCTGGGATTTCTGGGAGTTGTAGGCCAAAACACTTCGGGACCCACAGGTTGAGAACCACCACTGGTTTAGATCTTATCAGACAGCAGGGGAAAGTGGAGGGAGCCGTCTTATACTGTTCCCTCCTGTTTTTGTGGATGGCTAGCCATCCCATGTGTGCCTTTCCCCATCTTCTCCCCACTTGGGTAACACCTGAGAAGAGGGCGCTTTGGGCTCCATTTCCATTTGCTGCAGAAATTGAGCCCCATATAGGCCCACCGGAAGTGCCCTTACTTTGTCTGATGTGGGGCTCCCATTCCTAAGCTCATAGAAATTGAGTCTGGAGCCCATGGGATGTATCCCATTGTGCCTCCTAAGTGTTGAGTGTGTGGTGATCATGCCGACTGTATGCATTTCCCTTCCGCACTTAGAATTTCTGGGTTGAGGCAGAGGGGATCATGAAAGGTCATTTAGCAGCATTAATTCCCCTTTCCCGTGCCTGGTATAGGTTCCCCTCATCTGCCCGGTGACCTCAGAGGGGGACAGCTGCTCTCTCCAAGTTGGAGGGCTGCTGCCTGGAAAAGAGCCGGCAGGGAAACGCGATGCGGAGGCTGCCCAGGCATTGACCCTGGAGGGCAGGAACAGAGGAGCTCTTTCCTCCAGCTGTCTCTCTGCTTGGGGTCTTGTGGTTGTGTTTTCAGCAGGATTGTGTTTTCATCTTGCACTCACTAACCAAGACTTTCCTGTTTCACAGCAGCAGATCATTTCCCGAATCCCAGCAATTTCTAATTTCACATTTGGGGTTCTTGTCCATAACTGTGCAAACTTTGTACACTGTTGAAAAGGTTAGTCTCACCTTCCCCAGTCTGATGTCTTTCAGATGTTTTCTGGTTGAAGATGATGTTAGTGGCACTCCAGCTTATCCAGGAATTACCAAGTTGGGGAAAGGTTGAGGCTTAATACTGATGTGATTGGATAACTGTTTTTAGGAATTATTTTTACAGTTCTTAAAATAGACAGATCATCATAGAAGGAAGAATTAAGTAGATGGGCCAGATGACATTGTTAATAACCAGAGTTTTGTTGTGGGGTGTTTTTGTGTGTGTGTGTGTGGGTTTTTTTGGGGGGGGGGGGTGTCAGGAGTGACTTGAGAAATTGTAAATCGCTTCTGTTATGAGAGAATTTGCTGTCTGCAAGGACGTTGCCCAGGGGATGCCCAGATGTTATTTTACCATCCTTGTGGGAGGCTTCACTTATGTCCCCGCATGGGGAGCTGGAGCTGACAGAGGGAGCTCATCCGCACTCTCTCCGGATTCGCACCTGTCTTCAGTCCTGCCAGCACAAGGACTTAACGCACTGTGCCACGGGGGGCTCCATAATAACTAGAGTAATGTGGATGAAAACAAACATCTGTTTTGGTTTAATGTTTTTTTGGCAATCATACATATTCACACACAATTGATAATTTTGGAAGTGTGAATGCTCGGTTTGTAAATGTATATTTGTCAAAAAGTTCTCTTCTGGAAGGGGAGATGTTTGTGTGTGCATGCAAGAGAGAGGTATGCTTTTTGAGTAGCAAAATTTGGCTTGCTATTTTTAACATAGCAGTATTGCTGCTGCCACTTGTCAGAAACATCCAGGAAGCCTTGTTTCATCTTCATTGCTTCCTCACATGATGCAATGCTTACATCCATTCAGGTGAGCTCATTGGTTTCACTTCTAGGGAAAAGTCTAAATAATAAGTAGGACTGGGGTGTGTGCTTCTTGTAGCATCTAAAGAATGGAGGTTGGCCTAGATCAGAACAAATCCGCTTCTGTATTCTGCTTATGTTGACTCAGAGAGTGTTTTATTGCAAAAGCTGCCCCCTTTGCAAGTGGTATAGCTGCATAATTAATTTGTTGTTGTCTCTCCCAGTTATAACTACAGTAGACTCTCACGATGGATAAGCAAAAATGTTGGATAATAAGGAGAGATTAAGGAAAAGCCTATTAAACGTCAAATTACGTTATGATTTTACAAATTAAGCACCAAAACATCATGTTTTACAACAAATCAAGAGAAAAAGCAGTTCAATACATGGTAACGTTATGTCTTAATTAACTGTATGAATTTAGCACCAAAACATTGCAATGTATTGAAACAGCTGTGGATCTGGGTGGGAGGCAGATTGCGTCGGATAATAGAATAACGTTGGATGAGCCAAGGTTGGATAAGCAAGACTCTACTGTATAATGTCGATGCTACAAATTTCCTTTGGATTTAATGTGGGTTGTCATGTTATTTGAGCAGACCCACTGAATCCTGGGTTTTACACATGACTTAACAATTCAGCAATTGATCCAGAAGATGATCTCTACTTGAGACTAGCAATTATACTTAGGCTGGATCTACACCGCTGTATAATCCAGAGTATCAAAGCAAATATTCCAGATTATCCACTTTGAATTGGATTATATGAGTCTACACTGCCATATAATCCAGTTCAAAGAAAATAATCTGGATTTTATATGGCATTGTAGAAGGGGTTTTAGCTTCCACCATGACTCTGTGATTCATATCCTCTGGACTTTGACCATGGAATGGCACTGGAGGACCAAGGGAACAAATCCATGAATAATCAAAACCTCAAATACGAAAGGTGATTGTGAAAAATGAGCTATATCCAAGGTGGCAGTTTCTTTTGGCCATCTGAACAAAGCAAAAGCTGAAATGTTTTGCACACTCATTTGTTAGGTTCTCTTAATCGTTTCAATAAATTCAATTTTGCAGTGATTTAACTGCATCCTTCTCGGATTCAGAACAAACTTGTACATAGTGCTGCTTAGTTTGTTTTTCAATCATAGGAAAATAGGTCAATGTAGGAAGGGTAGAATACCTCTTTCCTATAATCGGAACATTTTTTTAAATGTAGGTGGGCATCTTTTATACTATATTTTGATTGACTAGGTTTGAATTTCTGCCCTCAAATGTGCTCCTTGGGAACTTGATAAGCGCAAACTTGTCTATGCAAATTCTGTGTGCCAGACCGGTATGTGTGAATGCAGTTATATAGCAGTGACAAACAAGATCAGTTGAACTGGGACAGATCGCCTTCACTTTTAGTTCTGCTCCTGGCAGATTTGTTCATAATTCACTCAAAAAGTAATTGTTGTAGATCAGGTTGTTTTAGAACTGCTTCTAAACAGTGAGAAATATAGGTTTCTTAAAAAAGTGAAGTATTTAAATAGCCCTATTGGGAGTCTGAATTGTGGGACAATTGGGGAAGCTTTGAATGATGTTGGAGATTGCTCTTTAGAATGTGTTGGTTCATTGTTGTTGCTGTTGCTATATGCCTTGTAACAACCCTAAACCCTATGACTGGATCTGCACTACCAAATAATACAGTTTCTGAATCCAGATTGCCTTCTTTAAACTGGATTATATGAACCTACACTGCAGTATAATCCAGTTCAAAGCAGATAATCTGGATTCAGAAACTGGATTATGTAATAACAACAACAACAACTACTACAACAACAACTACAACAACAACTTTATTTGTACCCACCTCCATCTCCCCAAAGGGACTTGGGGCGGCTAACATGGGGCCAAGCCCAAGCAATTACAATAAAGCAAAATAAAATATATACAAGACACACAACAACATCAAATAAAAATACAATAACATAATAAGCCAATAAAGTAGTAACAATAACATAATAAAACATAGTTTTGTTTTGTTTTTGTCGTGTCAGGAGTGACTTGAGAAACCAAGTCACTTCTGGTGTGAGAAAATTGGCCGTCTGCAAGGACGTTGCCCAGGGGATGCCCAGATGATTTGATGTTTTATCATCCTTGTGGGAGGCTTCTCTCATGTCCCCGCATGAGGAGCTGGAGCTGGTGTAGGGAGCTCATCCGCCTCTCCCCGTATTCGAACCTGCGACCTGTCGGTCTTCAGTCCTGCCGGCACAGGGGTTTAACCCACTGTGCCACCGGGGGCTCCTTTTAGTTGGGATGAACAATTGGATTAAGGCCAGACATGTCCCAGTATTCATGGAAGGAGGTGATGGCCTATTTCCTTTTTCTGAGACAGATAAAGTGAGACTTGTCCATCGTTACACAAAAGGTTTCCATGACCAAGCAGGGATTAAAATCATGGTCTTCCAGTGCTGAAACTGCTACACCAAGCTGGTTCTCTGGCTTATTTGTACTATCGATTAAATATGATTCCTGTCTTCTGCCTTGTTATGTATGTGTATGTATTCTTTTTACTGGTGATGTATTGTTTTTGTTATATAGACTAGCTACAAGAAATATACATTTCCAATTACAGATATGTATAATATAACAGGTAAAGATTGGTTCTAAATTGATGTCTGGGATCAAAAGGGAATCCTGGGTCTGAAAAAGTATAGAATTCTGCTCTGAAATGCTCTGGCCATTTCTCCTTCATGCCTCTCACTTGTAGTTGTTGTCTTCCCCCCTTTTTATTTTCTCCCCAGATGCGCTGGCTCCCTCCCTCAGAGGCTACTTCTCAGGGCTGGAAGTCCCGTCAGTTCTGCTGAATACTGTGTAAGTGGATGACGAACATGGCTTACAAAATCTCTCCCCCCCCCCCCCCCCAAGTTCCCTCTACCTTTTCTTCTCTCCTTCTTCGACTCTCCTGTTGGAGGTTGTAGATGTAAATAAATAGAAGCTTTACCACTGTTTCTGAACCAAAATATACTCTACAGTATAATAATGTGTCACTCAGATTTGTGTAACGAGTAATAGTAACTTTACCTCAGTTGAAAAGATCAAACAGAGCAACAATATATACAGCAGTCTCTGAATTCTTACAGAGAACAGAGGAAATAAACAGTCCTTTTTAAAAGTCTTCAAAATATGCTTCATGCCTTAGAAATGATCAGGCTTCAGAGAGTTGGCAGCCATTTCCTTCCTGGCTGTTTCCAGTCAGTGCTCTCTTCACTCTCCAAGGTGAAAGTGGCAGTTAAAACAATTTCTCTCAGCAGCAAGCTAGAGAATTCTGGCTCCCAGCATACTCGGCCAATCAGCTGCCGACACATGCCTTTCCAGTCAATCCATTACATCATGGTGCCTTTTTGCAAATCCCCACATCTCCCGCTTTTCCTTCTCTTCATGGATGGAAGGCTTTGTCACAATTACACTCATCTCCTGCTTGGAATTTGGTTTTGGTTTTTAGTCCAGTGACTGAGATACGTTATACTCAATGGGTTACTAAGCATTTCTTTTCCTAAAGGTATGTCCATTCCAAAAGACACTTCCTTCCAACTCTTTACAAAGATAGGCAGCCCCAATACATGTTGGTGAAGTTGGGAGTTTTGCAGTTTTGTGCACGTATTATAAACCTCTCTTGCAAATAAAATTGTTAAAATAGGTGTTGGTGTAGCCGGAATTAATGCCTTTTTGCCTCCAGAGAAGCAAGTCTAAAGGAAAGAGTGAATTTCTTTATTCTCCTCGCCCCCATTTTCTGAATTCATTTACTGATGCAGGCAGTAAATTATGAGCCAGAGAGATTCTGTAGGTTTGTCCTTAAGTTGAATTTGTTGTAGGTAAGTCAGGACAGGTACATTTTTTAAAGTGCAACTCCAGCCATATACTCTCCATAGCAAAGTATGATAATTACCATCACCACCACCACCCCACACACACACACATACACACATAATTGAGACTCAGGTAGCCATAATGGTTCTTTACCTTTTTACATAATGTTTGCACACACACCCTTCTTTATTGCGAACTCTGACATGGTTTTCTTTAAACGGTAAAGAACTGCGAAGCTTTAATGCCTGCCCATATGGACATAAGGCCTGTTCAAACTGGATCGAGGGCTCTTTTCCAAATGTTTTTCTTGGGTGCACACATTCTTTCTCATGGCAGAAAATAATTTGGGAACAGAATGGTACCTTATTTAGCCGTTTGGCTCTTGAGGAATTCACAGTCTTGGTGAATGGAGATAAAATATTATACTAAAATAATGAAACGGTGTTTAAATAGAATGGAGGAATAATGGCACCCAGACAACTGTTTGGAAATCCACCACTGCTGGACATGGCTTAAAGTCTAGACCAGTGGCTCCCAACCTTTTTTTGACCAGGGACCACTTTGACCAGGGATCAGTCTCCAACATTCATATCAAAAGAGTTATGAATCAGTTTTTGGTCAACTTTAGATTCAGTTTGGTTATTTGGGGTGCTGATTCAGAAAATTGCATTGGATAGACCACATGATCTCTAGTTTCGGATATAAAACTTATGCCATCCAGTAGTCTCCATCTGCTCACCCACATAAAACAGTATTGAATAATTTAGAGCTGATGTAGTCTTTCCAATTTTGCAATTTTCTGAATCAGCACCCCAAATAACCCCGGGAATAGGCCTAAAAACGAAGACACCAGGCACTACATGCAATGGTTTAATTCAGTTGGAGGGAGGAGAAGGAGAAGCAGCAGCCAGAGGCTTGTTGTCATGCCTTTCGAGGATAGTCAGCCTCTCCCCTCCCTACATCCCTATTGCCTCAGCACTTGAAGAGGGCTTCACAAGACCAGTCACTTTCATTACAATGGTGTAGTAACGGTGAGGCAGCAAACCATATTTTAGTTTTTGGGGACCACTGGTGGTCCACGGACCACAGGTTGGAAATCATTGGCCTTAATAAATAGGTTTTAGTTGACTGTATTGTTGTGTGCCTTCAAGTTGTTTCCAATTTATGATGACACTAAGGCCAAAAGTCAGTGTTTCTTGGTACAGAGGGGACTTCTCTTTGCCTTTCTCTCAGGCTAGATGTACACTGCCATATAATCCAGTTTCTAAATTTATATTATCTGCTTTGAACTGGATTATATGAGTCTACACTGCCATATAATCCAGTTCAAAGCAGGGAATCCAGATTTAGAAACTGGATTACATATCCAGTGTACATTCAGCCTGAGAGAGTATGACGTGCACAACATCAATGTATATTTCCATATCTGAGTATATAATCATTCATAATTAACTGGCCAAAGAGATCAAATGTAGAACAAATGGCCTTTAGGGAAAGTGCACAAATAAAAAAAAGAACTCTTCTCCTTTCTTAGAATAGAGCCTCATTCTAAGTTCATATTCAAATATGAGTATCATAGTATCACCATGGTCACCCAAAAATGCCCTCTCTTTCAACATCGTAAGTAAAAATCCTTTCATAGAATCCTAGAATAATATAGTTGGAAGAGACCACATGGGTCATCTAGTCCAACACCCTGCAATGCAGAAAAAGCACAATCAATGCATCCCTGACAGATGGCCACCCAGTCTCTGTTTAAAAGTTTTAAGGAACTTCCAAGGGAGGAAGTTCCACTGTAATTACTATTTTTCCCCTGGAGTTTGTGGAACTACTTAAGGGTCTTTTTTTCCCTTCTTCCTATGGACAGATTGGTCCAAGCTCTGGCTCATCATTTAGTATGTGGCAGCAATACATTTCCTAGTGTTCACATCCAAACTCCAAACAGTTTCATTGATCATCTGAAGATAGATAGATAGATAGATAGATAGATAGATAGATAGATAGATAGATAGATGAAAACAAAATGCCGTCTCTTTGTCTCTTGAACTTCCTTTCATCTTCTTCTCTGTAACAAAGGGAAGCAATAGACTGATCGTCTTGCTTCCCCATTTACTTCTGGTCATTTTTAGCCAAAGAAAACAAATCTGCTGTTTTTAAAAATTAATGAAAACTTCATTGGCTTCACATCAAGGCTGGAGGGCTGTAAATCAAGCACATGCACACACAGGGTTACTGACGGTCAGGCTTTGTGTGGCTGAAAGAGGGAGGGAAATGCAGGCAGGGCTTAATGCTGCAGATGAAATTCCTAAAGAGTTTCCAGGCACGACCCTTCTGATTTTCCTGCATTGTTCTTTTCAAAACCTTGTGAGGACCTTTTCCAGTAACTCCTGAAGACCCAGCTGTGCACTACAGAGAACTATTATTATTTATTATTTATTATTTATTATTTATTAGATGCACTTATTAACCGCCATTCTCAGCCCTTACGGGCGACTCATGGCGGTGTACAGTACACGTAAAAAGACAGTTACAAAAGCCAATATCCACAATACACACAATACAACAATACAAACTACATAAAAATCCGCTTCGTCTCTTAGTAGAATCGTAGGCCAGTCTCCTCGTCCTTATACCATTCCAATTCTCATTACCGTAATGACATTGCTAGCACTTAATTAAATGCCCTCTCGAACAGCCAGGTCTTAAGGCTTTTTCGAAAGGACATGAGGGAGGGCGCCTGTCTAATGTGTGCCGGGAGAGTGTTCCACAGCCGGGGGGCCACCACCGAGAAGGCCCTCTCTCTCGTCCCCGCCAGCCGTGCCTGTGATGCAGGCGGGATCGAGAGAAGGGCCTCCCCAGACGATCTCAAGGTCCTCGTGGGCTCGTAGGCCAAGATGCGGTCAGCAAGGTATTTTGGGCCGGAACCGTTTAGGGCTTTAAAGGCCAAAACCAGCACCTTGAATTGGGTCCGGTAGCAGATCGGCAGCCAGTGGAGTTGGGACAGCAAGGGCGTTGTATGCTCCCTGCCACCCGCTCCAGTTAGTAACATGGCTGCCGCGCGCTGAACCAGCTGAAGCTTCCGGGCCGTCTTCAAGGGCAGCCCCACGTAGAGAGCGTTGCAGTAGTCCAGGCGGGATGTGACCAGAGCGTGTACCACCGTGGCCAAGTCAGACTTCCCGAGATACGGGCGCAGCTGGCGCACGAGCCTGAGCTGTGCAAATGCTCCCCTGGTCACCGCTGAAACCTGGGGATCCAGGCTCAACGATGAGTCCAGGGTCACACCCAAGCTGCGAACCTGCGCCTTCAAGGGGAGTGCGACCCCGTCCAGCACAGGCTGTAACCCTATATCCCGCTCGGCCCTGCGACTGACCAGGAGTACCTCTGTCTTGTCTGGATTTAGTTTCAGTTTGTTCGCCCTCATCCAGACCGTTACAGCGGCCAGGCACCGGTTCAGGACCTCGACAGCCTCCTTAGTAGCAGGTGGAAAGGAGTGACAGAGTTGGACATCATCTGCGTACAGATGACACCGCACCCCGAAACTCCGGATGATATCACCCAGCGGCTTCATGTAGATATTAAACAGCATGGGGGACAGTATAGATCCTGTGGAACCCCACAGGTCAAAGGTTGTGGTGCGGAACAGGAGTCCCCCAAACCTTCTGGGTGCGACCCTCCAGAAATGACCGGAGCCACTGCAAAGCAGTGCCCCAAGACCCATCTCTGCAAGGCGCCCAGAAGGATACCGTGGTCGACGGTATCGAAGGCCGCTGAGAGGTCCAGGAGCACCAACAGGGACACACTCCCCCTGTCTAGCTCCCGGCGCAGATCATCCACTAAGGCGACCAAGACCGTCTCGGTACCATGTCCCGGTCTGAAACCAGACTGTGCCGGATCCAGATAATCCGTGTCTCTCAAGAATACCTGGAGTTGTGAGGCCACCACGCTTTCCATGACTTTGCCCAAAAAGGGGAGATTGGAAACAGGCCGAAAGTTGTCCAATTTAG